GAGGCAGGAGGATCGCTGTGCATTAGACCAGCCTGGGCTACATAGCGAGTACCAGGTCAGTCTCAACTACATAGTGAGACCCTGTCTCAAAAAACCAAAAACCAAAACAAAACAAAAATACAATAAGGTAATTTATATTTTTCCAAATTTCAAAAAAAAAATTTGAAACACTGCCATAGAAAATCTCAAGCATGGTCACAAGGGGAAGCAGTTAAGAAATAGAAACAACACAAGTGGAGGTGTTACCCTTAGGATGGAATAGGACCACATCTTTCTCTGAAACAGAAGCTAACACAGAGATGTAGAAAGGGGAAAGAGTTGATGGGATTCATGTCCAGGGGCCTCTACCTTCTTTGTGAAACAGGACCAGCTAAGAGTGTCAGGATCACAAGAAGCCCAAGGAAACTGATGAAGCTCTGTGTCTATATTTTCTCTTTGACTGACCGCAGTCACTAAAGCAGAGAGTCGGCTTTATATTCTGAGGTCAACACAGATGCCAGCGTTTCAGTCACACAACAAATGCTGGCTGACTGGATACAAAAAAACCTAGCAGAAGGCATTAGGCCGGCTTCACCTTCTTTTGATAAGAAGTTTTAGTTTCTAGGGTGCTCAGCAAAGGAGTAACATCAGTCCCCATGCTCACTGGCTGTTTCATCTTTTAACTATACCATAAACCTTTTTTTTTTAGATAATACAAACTGCCTTTGACTAACGAACCCCACTTTTAAGGAAACGTTAATTTCCATAATGCAAGGAAGTCAACAGATTTCTACTACTCTGTGTTTTATTGTTGTGCTACATGGGTATGCTGGATGTTACAAGAATGGGGGAAATAATGCTTCACAGCCCTGTGCCCAGCCACACATATTACCATGGTTACTCTTTCCCAGGAACCATGCTATCTCCATCCTTCTACCCAAGGACCTCAGTGTCTAAATAAAAGAACTGGCATACCTGTAATACCAGCATTCCAGAGACTGAGGCAGGAGGATCACTGCAAGTTCGAGGCCAGCCTAGGCTACTAATGAGTACAAAGCCAGTCTGAACTACCCTCAAGACTTTGTCTCAAAAAACCAAAACCAGAGCCAGTTCAGCGGCACCACATCTGCCTTGCAAGCACAAGGTTCTGATTTTGATTTCCAGTACAAAAAATAAAAAAAAAAAAAAAAAAAAAAAAAAAAAAAAAACAACCTCAAAACAAACAAAAAAACCCACTCCCTTCCAAAAGAAAGGACCAAGAATGACACAATCACACTACTGTTACACAACCCCTAGGCAACTCCTTTTACCGCTCTGCCAGCTCCCAATCCTCCTGGATCTGCTTTTGCCTGGCTTTCTGGTACTCCTCCCTCCAGCATTTGGAGCAGAAGCCTTGCCAAGCAGGGTTGCCGTAGTAGCCACATCCTTTCTTGCACAGGAGCTCCGATTGGTCCACATGAATTCCTCGGCGTTCAGACTTAAGGCTCATCTTCTTCCTGCTAACCAAGGGACAAACAAGAACATGTTAAAATGAATTCCCCATCATCCTACTAACTAAAGTCACAGCAAGTATGAGCAAGAGTATACCTGAATACATGAGGATCAAGCTGGAAAGAAGACAGAAAGTGAGGAGGGACAGAGGGAAAGGTTCATAAAATAGCAAATATATTAATAAAAATGTTGCTTATTCCCTACTCAAACTATAAAGAACACTGTAAGAAAAGACTAGTGCTGGACTAAAGATGTAAACAGATGACCAGAAATTAGAGATATCATTAAAGAAAACATAGAGGGGGAAGCTTCCTTACATTAGATTTGGCAATGGTTTCTTGGATATGAAACCAAAAGCAAACAGACAAATGGAATTTCATCAAACTTTAAAACTTCTACACAGAAAGAAAACAACAATGAAAAGTGAAATGGGAGAAAATACTTGCAAACTATGTATCTGATGAGAAGTTAATCTCCAGCATATATAAGGAATTCACTGTAACTCTGCAACAATAAAAAAAAAAAACATGGGCTGGGATTTAGCTCAGTGGTTCCACTGCCTGCCTCACAAGCGCAAGGTCCTGAGTTTGATCCTGGTACCAAAAAACAAAACAAAACAAAACCCACAAATGGGCCGGGGATTTAGCTCAGTGGTGCTGCCACCTGCCTCACAAGTGCAAGGTCCTGAGATTGATCCCTGGTTAAAAAAACAAAACAAAACAAAAAACCCCACAAATATTCAGAATTTTAAATGGACAAAGAAAAAAATTAATGAATTGGACAAAGAATGCGAATAGACAAGCTGGGCATGGTGATGCACTCCTATAAGCCCAGCACTCAGAAAGCTGAGACAGGAGGATTGCCATGAGTTCAAGGTTAGCCTGGGCTACATAGTAAGTTCAAGGCTAGCCTGAACTACACAGAGACCCTGTCTCATAAAAACCAGACAAACAAACAAACAAATGGCCAACATATGAAAAGACACTATCACTAAGCATCAGGGAACTGCAAATCAAAACCACAAAGAGCTATCACTTCACACCCGTGTTAGGAAAGCCACCTTCAAAAGAACCCTGCCAAAAACAGGTATTGATGAAAAACTGTGGAGAAATTAGAACCTTTCTGCACTATCTGAGAAAATGTAGTATTATAGTCACTATGGAAAACAGTATGGCCATTTCTGAAAACAAGAAAAATAGGGCCCAAGTCTAGAGATGCTTGTAATTCCAGCTACTTAGTAGGATGAAACAGGAGGATCTCTCGAGCCCAGGAGTTCAAGGATATTGCAGGCCAAACAGGCTCTGAAAAAAAAACAATTAAGACCGGAAGCACCAGGCTGGGGATTTTAGCTCAGTGGTGGTTCTGCCACCTGCCTCACCAGTTATCAAAAAAAAAAAAAAGAAAAAAAGAATAGAATCACCATGTAACTCAGCAATCACACTTCTGGTTATGTAGTATCCAAAAAAACTGAAAACAAGATCTCTAGGTGATATTTACACACTCATGTTCATTGCAGCATTATTCACAAGTCAGAGAAAGAAGCAAGCTAAATGATGCATAAATAAATTATGCCATATATATGTATGTATGTATGTAACTATTACTTAGGAAAAAAATCTGGTCATAAGCTATAAGGTACATAAACCTTGAGGACATTATGCTAAACAAAATGAACGAGTCCCAAAAGACAGCTACAGTGTGATTCTTCCTACAGTACCAAAACTCTTAGTGACAGAAAGCAGAGCAGTGATGGCAGGGGCAGGGGTGAGAAGGTAAAGAAAAGCAGCTGCTCAATGCATGGGTGGAGGTCAGTCTCGCCAAGGGACGAAGTTCCAGACCCCACTGTGCCGCAGTGCATGTGCTAACAATGAAAACAGCTAGGATGGTAAACTCCACATTACACGTTCTTTACAAGAAAAAGTACATTTTCATTTTATTTAAATAACAGATCTTTCTTAGCTGCTCCCAAAATAAAGGTCTACATTTTTGTCCCAAGGGGCAAAGTGCAGTCCTCTCATCATACTCGCAGGTGTATCCAATCATGGGTCATGAGCCACAATGTGGCGCTGGGCATTGCTAACAGCCCCATGAGGTCGTGGACGTTTAATAGCTGTGTGATGCATAGTGATATTTTACTGCGCAAAAGCAGACTGGGCGGACAGCACCAGAGCTGTGCAGGGCAGGGCACAGTGCATGGTCCACAGTCTCAAGGCTGTAGTCAGTGGAAAGGACGCCAGAGCCACCTGGCCAGTGAAATGCAGCCAACACCAGTGACAACACTCCAACCCCCGCCACGAAGGTGTGAGTGTGCACGTGAGAGAGACGAGACAGATAGAACCTGCAAAGACTGCCATGGTATTATTAAGCAGGGTGCAAGTCTTTTTATGTAATTACTGAACTTGAGCTTGTGTTATTTTGTAAAACAACTTAATAAAATTAAGATAGTTTTTTAGTGGTTGTAGTGTAAGTACGAAAATTGCATCAATCTTTTTTGGCTCAGGATATTATAATTACACATACAACACGGCCAATACTAGAAAAATAAATGGTTGGTTGCTGCAATCATTCAACTCAAAGAAAAATTTGATCATATCTCTACTAGACTTTTTTTCTTTTTGGTATTGGGGATTGAACAACAAGGCCTTTGGACTGTTACATCCCCACCTTTTTAAAAAATTTAAAATTTTGACATGGTCTCACTAAGTCACTGAACTGCCCAGACTGAATTCAGACTTGTGATCTCCCATCTCAGCTTTCTAGGGTGCACTGTTTTTTAGTGTACTTTTGTAAGACTGCCCAGAGAATACTGCTCACTTCAAAATCACACCTTGTTTGTGGCATTACTTTTAGCAGTATGTACATGTTTTGTTTTTGAGACAGGGTCACACTGTGTAAATCAGGTTGACCTTGAACTATGTAGCCCACGCTGGCCTCGAACTCATAGTGATCCTCTTGCCTCAGCTTCCCAAATGCTGGGATTACTTGGCAGCACCACCACACCCAGCCTTGTGAACAGCTGTTTTCAAGGATGAAGCATAGAATAAAATTAGATAAAAAAATTTTTTTTAGATAAAAATTTCTAAGAAGCACCTTGACAATTCACTGAGAACTGCAACCACTTCTGTCAAACCAGACATTGTTGCACTGTTTCACAAAAGCAAGGGCAAATATTCCACTAGTGCTGTCTATGTTGTCCTATTTTTTTTAATGTTATATTAAATATTTTGGGGGAGGGTTTTGAGACAAGGCCTCACTATGTAGTTGAGTGTGACCTGGAACTCACTATGTAGCCCAGGCTGGTCTTGAACTCACAGTGATCCTCCTGCCTCAGCCTCCCAAGTGCTAGGATTACAGGCATGCACCACCATGCCCAACCCACATGTTTTTATTTTATTTTATTTATTTTTTTTGGTACCAGGGATCGAACTTGGGCCCTTGCACTTGCAAAGCAGGCAGTGAAACCACTCAGCCAAATCCCTGGCCCTTAAATCTTTTTAAAAGGAAATTTGTTCATACATCCACTGTATTTTTTATTTGATATATACTCAGTGCGCCCCAGGGAAGCCAGAAAATGGGCCCCTGTGCTTGAAGTATTCTCAGTACTGTACACTGTTTGGCTCAAAAGGACCTTGCTTCAATGCTATAAAAGTGAACACTTTATCTTGGCTGAAGTAATTTAACATCTACCAGAAACTGAATGTAATTAAAGTAGTAGCATGGTTTTTACTGTTAAAGTACCATTCAAGGCTTTCAAGAATCTAGGGCAAATTGACAGTACCACCCATCTGCCATCCCTCACCATATGCCCAGTACTGCAGCAGGTACTTAACATAGTTATTAAATTCTCACAAAGCCAAGTCGATGTTAGGAGAAAACTCAGGTTCAGATAAACTTTTGGAGGTATATAAATCCTATGGATTTAGATCTAAGGTCACACAAGTTCAAGCTAAAACCTAACATACAATCTTCACAAGCTCCAATGTTAGTTTTCTTCTTCACTGTATCACATTTAAATTTACATGTGCACAGTACCACAACTATTTCATTCACACTGATGTCATATGGTCTTCTTCTTCCCATAAACAAACGGACAACAAGCAAGAGAAAGGTGGCACTTGATGGTGTGCATTCAAGAAACTCAAGCGTGGACACAAAATTAACTCTCCATCATGGGGATTCTACCACTTGTTCTGCACAGACATTTACTAAATGTCAACTTCATGATAGGACTGAGCTTGATGCCACAGGTAATACTGCTGACAGAACATTTCTGGCCCTCAGAGAGCTCAGAACACAGCACTAAGGCAAGTATTCTATCCGAGTGACACTCCCAGCCCCAGACCTATTTGGTAAAAAATAGAGCCCAGAGTTGCTGTGATTTGGATCTCGAATGTTCCCCTAATGCCCAGGCAGGCTTCATCCCCAGCCTGGGTATCAATGGGAGGTGGTAGAACCATGAGGAAGTGGGGCCTGGTGGGAGACAGTTAGGTCCCTAGGGGCCACTGAATAGGATGTGGGGGCCCTGGCCCTTCATCTTCCTGTTCTCTGCTTCTGGCCACCAAGAGTTAACAATTAGGACTTCTTCACCATCCCAGCCATGATGCCCTGCCTTGCCATCAGCCAGCTGAACGTGGACTGAAACCTCTGAAACACTGAGTCCAATAAGCCTCTCCTCCTGAGCTGTTCATCTCAGATATTTTGTCACAGTGACAGAAGGCTACCACAACAGAGTTTGTCTTCCAGCATGATGACTGAGGACAAGAAGTCTACTTCTCCAAAATCAGCTGTAAAAATGAACAAAACTTCTACACTCTGCGGTCAGATCTGTGTGTGCACTCTACCTGGAGGCCCTTGGCATATTTTTTGTGTACACATGAGCTCTCCTGGGCACAGCAGAAGTCTTACTGGCTGGAGGTATCGGAGTATAATCTCAATCTGCACAAATTAACAACCTCTAGATAAATACAAAGGTGTGTGGCAGACACAGGGGTCACCTTTAGAAGGGAGT